CAAGCCCAGTCAAGATGGAGAGAGAAGAAATGGATCACTATTTTCATGCTTGCTTATTGTGGTTGTAATTTGATCTTTATTTGTACATTATTGTTTGTGGTATTTGTACTAATTATTAGAATTTTAATTGAGTGATATGACTTATTAATGTGTGTATTTGGTTGTATGTCGAACAATATGATGTATGAATGTGGGTAGTGACTTATGTAATCTAAGTATCTTTATTTACGTGTTCGTTGACGAATTAGTGGATGTCTTGGTTTAAGGAATTTTTGGATTTGTATTTTGTTGTATGATATATTATAAAGTGTATTGGAAGAGATATGGAGATTGCTTGAGGGTTTGCAATTTCAACTGAAACATGTATATAGGGAAGCTAATGCTGTAGCTGATTTCCTGGCCTCATTTGCTGTTAGAAACTGGTTGCTTCACTGAATTTTCTGGCAGTGGTATTCTGCCATTGGAGGGAAGGTTGATTTTGCATCAGGACCAGTTCAGGATACCTATTGCAAGGAGGAGGAAGGTTGTATCTTGTGGTTAGTAGGTTTGAATCTGCAGATTGGGAGTTCAATTATCAGACTGTGTTCTGTGATTAGGAAAACATGGAGCTGATTTTGATATGTTTCTGAAGGCTGGATAGTTGGTCTGTGGAAGATAGATGTTTGGTTTAAATCCTTTTGAAGGATTAAAGCCAACCCTTGCATCTAGAAGAGGATTGTTAACAGGAACTGCTCTGTTATTGATCTATTGTTGCTTGGGATTTATCAGACTGTGATGTTGTCTGGGTGGTGTTACTGTGCTGCTGCTTGAGCTGATTTTTGGACAGCTTGATGAAGGATGATTGGAGGAGCCCATAACAGCAGTATTGTCATTCTTTGTAATAAGACTGTGGGTTGTAGTATTACAGAATTCTGTTAGGAAACAGAAAATCTGTTTTCTGTTTTTTTTGTTAAACAGATTTTCTGTTTTAGTTTGATCCTTGTTGAACAAAATCTGTCTAGATTCAGTTGGGAAGAGAGGTTCTGGGTTATATCAGGACTTATCTGCTATGGTTTTAGAGGTGCTGTCTGCTGTGCCAGGAGCTGATTTGCATTGGTCTGGCATCTGGGGTGTAGCTAGAAGGCCTGGGCAGCTGGGAGCATTTTGTCTGTTCTGGTCTGGTTCTGCATTTAGTCTAGGCTGATGTTGTGCTGGTGCTTGGTGCTTGGTGCTTGGTGCTTGGTGTTTGGTGTTGGTTGATCTAAGGTATGGAGCTGGATTGCAGGAGCTGTTCAAGTTTAAGAGCCTTTTATTGTAATTTGAGATGGTTTTGATCCTTTTGAAGGATTAAAGCCATTTTTTCTATTTTGTAGAACATCTTGTTCTTTAATTCGTGTAATTCATTATTTTTGGGAATAAAATTTTTTCCTTTTAAAAAAAAAAAAAGGGTTTAGTTTGATCCTTGTAATTTCTGAATTCATTCAATAAAATTTCTATATTTTTTTTAAAATGATATATTATAAAGTATATTTAGGATAAAACGTGAAATAGTTGCCAAAAATTTTTTTATTTTTTATTCTCATAATTTGATAGACAAAAATGGCACCCAAACATGTTTTCTGTTTCAGTATTTATCACAAAACAGAGACATAAATTGTCTCTGTTTTTGATTGTTTTTAAGACGCGAAAACGTTACCAAACAACCCCAAATTGTTGTTGCTCGTTCTTTTGTTGAAGCTGAGTATCATGTTATGCCATCTGCTATAGCTGAGATTGTCTGGTTATGATGGCTCCTTGCTGATCTTGGCATTTCGGTATCCTCTCCTACTCCTATGTTCTACGACAACACCAGTGCTATTCAGATTGCTTATAACTCGGTCTTCCATAAGCGCACAAAGCACATTGAGATTGATTGTCATTTTGTGAGCCATCATTTGCAGCAGGGCACCATTACTCTCTCCTTTCTTCCTTCAACAATGCAGATAGCGGATTTTTTTACGAAGTCTCACACCATAACACGTTTTTGATTTCTTTTTGGCAAACTTGATATTTTCCACCACATAATGAGTTTGTGAGGGGGTGTTAGAGTATTAATACTAAGGGTAGTTTATGTATTTTCTTTATGTTGTGTTGTCGTACTATATAAGACTTACTTTGTGTATTTTTAGGTTTGAGATGCGTATTACAGACTTACTTTTAGAATAATATAGTTTCTCTTTCTCTTCTCTATTCTTATTGATCAATTTTATCATTTAGGACATTCGGACGAAGCAGATTAAACAGAATGAACTTTACGATTTTGATTTCAGAGAACTAGTTGATGTAGAACAGGTTGCTGGTGGAAAGTAATCTTGATCTTGGCCTTGGCCTAGGTGTAAATGGGCCTTAGATAAATATCTAACTCTAGCCTAATTTCTAGTAGTTTCTTGTGTAGAAGTTTCTAGTGAGATATTAATAGAAGTAGTTGGAGGAGGCACTAAATTATGTAGTTGGAAGATGTATTGAACTAGGTAGTTGGGAGATGATAGAAGCTTTCCTTAATCCCTATAAAAAGGGTTATTGTGTTATCATTTGAGGCATCCAATCAAGTCAATCAATTTTTTTCAGAGTTTTTCTCTTATTTTCTCTATGGATTCAAAGTGTGTGTGAACATGCAAAGCACGAGGGAATGGTGATTTCCATATAATTTTTTTGTTTACCACTGCGTCAATTGGTATTACAGCATTGCTTGACCTTTTGTGATGACTCAACGAGGTGGTAACAATATTTCTTATGAAGGTGATCATGCAGAAGAGTTTCTTACGAGAACTGAATTCTTGGAACTTCAGCAAGGAGCGACGTATCCAACAATTCTAACGGGATACCCAGTAGGCCATGCAAGTTGTAGGCTATGGTTGCTCAGTTGGTATTGAGTCCAAACTAGGGTCCCAATCGAGAGAGGGTACAAAACAACGATAGAGCTCGTGTTCAACCTATTCGAGATCATCTTTCTATCTATCTAGTGAGACCGAATGTTTCCGATGCATCGACTCGTGTCACCCTACCGGAGATTCTAACGATGATAATGATGAGTATTTACTTGGTAATGCTACCGGTTACAAGAATCCCAAATGCGAGTCTAGTGATTTCTATATGAAACTTACCCTACCCAATTTTAATTGTTATCTTTGTTAAAATATAAATACTTAAGTTATACTATCTCCAACAGCTTAAGCTTTTAGAGTAGATGGTTGTTTAATGTGGTATCAGAGTAGGAGGTCCTGATTGGAATTTTACCGTCATCCTAATTATTAAAAAATTTTAATATGCTATGCCCAAAATCTAGTCAGAACGTGAGGGAGCGTGTTAAAGTATAAATCCTTTAGTTACATCATCTCTAACAATTTAAACTTTGCAATTAATATTTGTTTAACATTCTTCATATTGAATATCTTTATTCTAGGCATGTTCAATGGATTGAAATGTATCATGTATGATTGTATATTTGTATGGACTTGAATTTATGAGATAATGAATACTTGAGCTTAATTGATCAAGTCTTGTGCAATCAATTGATATCATTTTTGATTCATAATGTTTGGAGGCACACACTAATGTTTGAGGGCACACAATAATGTTTGGAGCACTTAGGAATTGAATTAGATGTGATTTGAATAAAAAAAGAGTGCCTAAAAAGAGTAGGGGACTTGCTCTTTGGAGCCATTCGACTGGGTTTAAACCCAATCGACTGAACCTGGTTGACTGGCCATAAATGTGGTCGACCAAGCTTCTGCAAAACCAGTTTTTTGCTCAAGACTTCATAGATCAAACCTTAGGCCTTAGGTAATCCTATCCTCACACATTATATGAACTGAACTAACAAGCTAATGTGAGTGAAATGCTGAAATGACCAAATTACTACTGGTCTGAATTAATCAAGAAAGAAGCCTGATAGAGCTAACTCTGAGCTAAACAGGAGAACTTCCAAAAGAAGTTCCCAACATTTTATAGGGATCCTATTCACCCCCCTTTCTAGGACCAGACAATAGCACTGGTTATAGATGTAGAGGTTTTTCATCTATCCAATTTGGTTGTCCAAGCTCTTGGTGTTTGAGTTTTAGAAGTTTTATTGCAGGGAAAAGTGTCTGACTCATTGTTGTGAAAAGTGAGCCTAGGTGAGAAGCGAAGCAAAGCGAGCCTTGGTCGCCTTGAACATCCAAGGCAAAGCGAGCCTTGGTCGCCTTGAAAAGCGAGGTTAAGTAAAACGACGAAAAAGTGAGCTTAAGCGAAGAAGCGAGTCAGGCGAGAAAAGTGAACACCTAATTGTAATTTTTTTATTTTTTCCTCCTCCTTCTTTAACATTAACCAAATTCTAGCAGAGCTGATGTTATGTGTATATGTATAAAATAAATTGATTGATTTGTGTAACAGTATCATATGACAATCTGTTTTATTATGATTAGATAATGTTAAATGCTTTGTTTTGATGTGAATGCTCTTGTTAATCAATTTGCTTTATGCTCTATTTGATTAATCAATTTGTAAGTACTTTGTTTAGTGGTGATATTAATCAATCATGGTGGAAGTCGAACCCACATTTGCTAACTTTACATTTAGATGATGTGATTATGTCAATTGATTATTTTTAGAATATAATAATGTTCAATATTTAATATCTTGTCTATTTAAAATATGTTGATGTTTATTATTTTGATTGCATTTAAATATTTTATATTTATAAAGTTAAAACTTGAATATTTAGGAGTAATCAAAGTACAAAACTAAAGTATTTGCTTATTTTTTAAATTGTTCGCTTTGCTTTAATTCAGCGCTCGCTTCGCTTCTCGCTTCTCGCCTAGTCCCTTAGAAGACCAGTTCACTTCGATTCGCTTTACGTCTTAAATAACACTGGTCTGACTTCTCAAGCTATCAAGGTTTGCCATTGTTTTCTCAGCACAGTTAGAGGGTGCATTGGTGGTTGCCAGAATTGTAAGGGTTATCCTTATGAAGCTTTGTCTTCCTTCCCTTATATCTTTGCCAGCATGTATGGTCATCTTATTCATCATCAGTCATCATCTGGTCGCTGTGGTTTATCATTTGAATATTGTATTGGGTTCATGGGCATTTCTCTCTCTGGGATATGCTTCCAAAAGTGGGTTTACTAGCGAATTCTCCTAGTAGTGGAAAGCAATCTTGCTTCTCTTTTTTGGTTTTAATTACAATTGAAGGTTAGGATTCATATGCATTTCTTGGTTCTAAGAAGTTTTAAATCTATCTTGGTTAGTTTTGGTCACACTATTTTCGTAAGGCAGAATTCCCGAAAAATTGTTTATGTTGAATCATTGTTTGGGAAGGAATATCTTCTGTAGACCTTTGTTCTATTGGGTTTTCTGTGGTAGTTCCTTTATTTTCGATCGTTGGGGCTTTAGAAATGTATTGCGTCATTCCCTTCTAGCGTTATATATCTCGATTTCCGGAATAATTTTTTTTCCTACTCTTGAATATGTTGTTTATGCAAATGTGGTTACTCCTAATGCTTGCTCATATAAAAGAATTCCATCTGCAGACCTTCTATCAGGAAAAGGAGAAACCCAAAGGAGACTGCAGATCTTACTAGCATTCAGGAACTTATTAGTGATATTGATTGTAATTGTCATCCGGGTAGGTTTTGACTAATTCTTTACCCTTAAGAATGAATCTCTTCAAGTTGAGAGAAATTAGCTAGTGCTTTCAACTTATTCCTATTCTTGTAGGTCTGATGGACATAGTTGGTCACTGCACATATATTGGGATGGCAGATGGTGTTTTTGCTTTGCTTCAGCACAATACTCACCTATATCTTGCAGATGTAGTGAACTTGAGGTAATTTTTCTGTGTTTCTGTGTTTTCCTGAAGCGACATGGCCGTAAAAATGTAATTGCTTTAAAAGCAGATGTTAACGAGTAATTTCTTTATTATTTTTGGGGCACAAAATTTTTAATGGGTAGAGTTCTATGCCATAACTAAATATATGATACCTTCAATGCAGTACTGACTATATATTTCTATGACATTTCCTGATGCATATGATGCAGAATGCATATATACTTTGTTGTTTTGTCATAGTTTGGAAAATCAACTTTATAGGCTTATTTGTTCAATAATTGTCATATTTTTTTTGGAGAGGCCATTTAAAATTAAAAAAGAACTTACTACTTTTTACTTCTGCCTTCCTTATGAAAATCTATTATGTACGGAATTTAGAATCTATCTCTCTATGTTGATATTCTTTTTATTGGGGGTGGGGGAGCCTATTTTTGTCCCCAAAAGCAACCATAAAATCAGCATATATACTGGTGTATTTGAGACACATCGTGGAAATTTTTTTGTTGTATGTGGTATAATTACAAGTTTTGGACTACACATGGCAGTGAAATTATGGGATGACAATCAAAAAAACTAGTATGGCTATTTTAGGAAATTTTCAGTGATATCATTATTGTTGTTTGTGTACTGGTAGATATTTGAATTCTTATTGTATCGTAGTTCTGTGGGAACATTCATTGAGAAGGGTATTAATGTTGAAAGTATATCAGTACTCACCTTAAATTTTTTGTATTAAGTTTTAAGATACGAATGTTTGACCGTCCATGTTTTGAGTGAACAATGAATCTGAATCATCGAATTGCACAACTTTTATGTCCTTGTAACTATTTGAACTTTATTATAACATGCACTTCTGTCTGCATTTGGAATCTATGTAATAGCAAATGGATTCTGACATCGACTTATAGTGTTTCTTATACATTGTAACAATACCGTAGTTTTCAATGTTGTTCTCAAGATACAAGTTTCTGGTACCCAATTTCTTAGGTAAATGAATATCTCTTCTTAGTTTTGTTTACAAACTTTAATTGAATACTCTCCTTAGTTTTATTTCTCACTTGTTTTTTAAGTTGCCTGTTTGTTTTTGATGTGCAACGACACAACCCTTGAAGAGAGGGACATATAAGAGATCAATTATTGTCTTGACAAAGATTGACCCCCTGATGACTATCTCTTCGTACTTATTATAGTTTATGCTTATTCCTTTTTTGTTTGACAAAATTATGGTAGTTGTATAATATAATATAATACAAGCAATGATGTAGAAAATAGGTGGATATGCAATACATTACACATTATGACAAGTTGTTTTGGTTTTGAAATTTATGTCGTGCCTTCTCTTAATTGTACTTTGATTGCTGGCCTGGTGGTCCTCTCTCTCTCTCTCTCTCTTGCTTAAAATATTGGTTGCAGAATTTGTCTTTCTTCCATATAGAATTACCGGTTTGAGGGTCAACTATTTTAGCCTGGTTCAAGTTGCTTTTGGAAGTGGTGGAATCTGACATTTAACTAGGTTTTTTGAGTTGCATAGTTGTTTCAGCTATCTGATTCTTTCTTTTTCTTGTTTTCTGTTCCTTCACAGCAAAGAGCTCATGTATCAGCAAGTTCTGCGTCGGTTTGCTCATTTTAATGCAATACAACTGAGTGATGCAGCTCCCCTGCCACAATTAATAATGCTGGCACTGAAAGACGAGGATTTAGATCTACAAGGCGATGGAAATGATGGGTTGAAAGAAAGAATTGCTGAAGTAACTTGATCTTAACCTGACACAATTTCACAAAATATTGGATTATTACTTTTGAGGGGTGACCTATTTCTATTATGTAATAAGTATACCATTGATTGCAAGTCTTTTTGTTTTTATGCGTGAGGGTGAGGGTAAGGGTTGAAAGATTCTTTTCCTCCTCCCACACAATTTTCCTGAATCTTCATTCTACCTACAAACCATAAACTTTTCATGGTATCAGATATAAGTTCTAGGGTTTTCATTGGGTAGATTCTCACTCTTATTTTTTTGGAGTGGAAGAGATCGGAGATCTGAAATGGGAGAAAAGTAGGAACACCCAAATTTACGTGGTTCAGTCTATTAGGTCTACAACTACGGACACTATGCCCAGGTGGCCTTCTGCTATGGGTGATATTCAGATTGCATTGTAGTGTTGTGTGTTTGATACATAGAGATTACCCGTACTTATAGGTTGAGATAAGTACATTCGAGCCATTAATTATGGCTGGCATGTTGCAAAGATTTTATTCCGTCAATCATGGGATTCTCATATCTTCAACACTCCCCCTCAAGTTGGTACATGTATATGTGGAATAAGTGTCCAACTTGAACTGAAGAATAAATGATCTACACAAACTACAGTTTTTTGGAGCTCGCAGAAATTACGGTGATTTAATTGCATTGAATGACTCTTTGTGCAAATTTGTTGAAGCTGAAACTGTACAACAGCTTTTGGAATTGACAGAAATTATGGTGATTTATTTCGCGGAATGACTCTTCGAGAGAAATTTGCTGAAGCGTCGACTGTTCTAATAAAACTCCCCCTAATGACAAATGGGAGAACATGTACAAGAAAACTGCGTGCATGGAATGATCACCATGCAAACATGAGAGGTATGACATGTAATAAGGAGAATCAATAATGGAGACAGTTGCGAATATGGAAAACTTTTCAAAGTTTTCTACATAAGGCCATGTGAAGATTTTTCTTCCACCCCTTTTTTTACATTCAGTTCTCTCTCTCTCTCTATTAAGTGAATGAAGTGACCTAGTAATGGGTTCAGAAATGGTTCAAGGTCACGGTATCGGCCTTCAACTTAGAGAGTTCTGAGACACATCGGTCGCGGCATGGTATCGGGCGATACGATTTAGGAGAAAATGTTGAACATGATGAGAAATTCATGACATATCACGGTGTCGTGAAACCATATCGGTCAATTCGGTGACGATATTTTAGCAACTCGGGATTGACTTGGATACAACTCGGACAATTCGGCCTGGTTGTGTGAGACTGGGGTTTATTCGTATCGTGTAATGGTATTGTCTTCAAAGGTGTCGGGACGACTCAGCCGACTTGTATTAGTATCGGCCGATACTTTGAACCATGAGTTCAGAAGGAGATGTGATTTTCTTGACTACAGAAGCAGAACTTCCAATTGTTTATCAAGGCTGATTTCTCCTTTTTAAAATCTAGCCAGATCAGATGCGTGAATAGTTGGATCCGACGAGATTAGCGACATAGGGAGATCCAGTGAGGGTGGACGGAAAAATATTTGTGGGGTATGTGAGAGACGATTGATGGTACTCTCTCCCTCTCTTTTGTTTGGGTAAATTTTTGGTTGAACAAGAATGTCTATTCATGAAGAATGGTGCCAGACTAGTAGTTCTTTTTTTTGGACATAAAAACTACACTGGCAGATTCAGTGATGGTGAGAGATCAGAAATCTGAAATGGGAGAAGAGGAGGATCACACAGAGTTACGTGTTTCAGCCTATTAGGCCTACATCCACAAACACAATGCTCAGATGGAATTTCACTACTATTGATGTTCAGATTACATTGTAGTGTTGTGTTTGACACAAGCAAAGACGACTCATATTTGTAGTGTAGATAGCCCACAAAGTTTAGCCATCAGAGTGGTTGTTGTCTTCTTCTGCAAAGTCTTCCGGCCATAATTAGTGGCAGGCATGCTGCAATGGTCTCATCCCATCAATCACGGGATTGTCATATCTTCAACACTTATTTTTCCTTTTTTCTCCCCTTCCTATTCCTTCTTCTCTGTTGCGACTTTTGGAGACCATTACATGCTGTAAGTTGGTCTGTGTATGAGAGAATGAATGATTAAACAGTGCTAAGGGTTGTTGTCAATGTCAGTGACATGAACGGTGCTAACGACGCGGTTAGGTTGGAGTTTGTCATCAGATTTTTCGATTTGTTGTGAATTGTAGTAGAAAAGTAGTGGTCTTGTCTGTGTTCGTGATCATTGGTGTTTGATTGTTGATTTATTGATCTGTTCACAACCTTCATTGTGATTTGCAAGGTTTCATTGCTACTGTCTTCATCAGTAGTTCTTGTTTCCTGAACCCTTATCTTCCTGTGAACCCTTATCTACTTGTCATCATTGTCAATTCATCACCAGAGTCGTGGAGAAACAAAGGTTAGTCGTGATTGGTTGGAGTTGAGTTCTGTTTGCCAATCTAATATTGTTGTCGTTCTAGTGCCATTTTTATCAAATTGTGATTAAACAAAATCTCTCTTCGTCGTCTGTGTTGCATGGCTGTCGAGAAACAGAATCCTAATTGTTGTCGTGGGTTTTGTGGGAAGAAGACCAAGGACTTTTGGTTACGAGCCCTGCTGTGTTCCTGTGTGGGTGTTGCTAAGAATAAGCCTACTCGGGTTGTGATTTAACCCAATTAGAATTGGGTATTCCAAATTTGTGTCCTTGGTTCAGATATATTGTAGTCAGATCCATTTCAACCTGTTTCCTTGTATTCTGGGTTTGAATGAATTCATTCAGCTTTGATCACCTGATTCAACTAATTTTGAACCGGTTCAGTCCGATTCTGTGTGTAATGAGCCTGGTTCATGTTAATTGTCGGCTATTTCAGTCCAGCACTGTGACATATAACCCAGTTCAAGTTGATTTTAAAATAGTTACTCTTGTTCTGTACAAAATCTACCCAGTTCAGGCCTTCTATCTCCGGCTTAAATGCATTATCTGGACACATCTGCTTGGTTCAGTCCCTTTTTTGGCCGTTTCAGCTTGACCAGTGCTTTTCAGGCTTGATGATCACCGGATCAGTGTAAATCCAGTACCTTGGATTATGTTTTTGGTCCAGTTCTTTCCTAATGTAGCCTTTCCAGCCTAGTTTTCCTCCGGTTAAGCCTCTAGTTTGATTCAACATTGGTTCAGCCTTCTGACGCTTGGTTTAGTATTGTTGCCTATTGTTTTTGTTGGAATGGCTCCTAAATCGGATATCCTCCCCCCTGCCACTATTTAATGCTCCTTGGCTGTCTCAACCATCATCCTCTTTTCACCTGCCAAGTAAAGTTAATCACTATTTCAGTGGAAAAATGTGCTCAGCTTCGGTCTCAAAAACAGGCGGCTCCCTCTTTCTCCACTGTTGCTTGTGCTTAGTGAGGTGTCACTTCTACATGTTTCATGCCTTCTGAATGCCATACCTTGATCATAGACTTTGGTGCATCAAACCATATGGTTGGTTCGTCTGGTATCCTATTTCCTTATCAATCTATAACTCCCTCCCATAGTGTTTTTCTTGCTAATGGTTCCATATCTTTCATGAGGTGCTTTACCTTCAACTTCATGTTATACTGTGCTTATCTATCCTTCTCCAGCTGGGATGGTTTCGTTTCTCTAGGCAGTAGGTTTTATTGTTTGTCTCTTTAATGCTTTTGACATTTCCTTGTAACAGCATGCGTTGTCTCTCCATATTTTCTTATTTCATGCAGTAATTAGAAGCATTGAGATGTAAGGGACACACGCCCCCCTATCTAGTTGTAATCCAATTTTGTAATCAATAAATTTCTCCCTCGCACTGTCGAGGTTCACCAAAAAGAAAAAAAAAGTTATACTGTACAAACACCAACCTTTCCAACTTTTGATAATTGAGTCGATTCCGTACTTTATTATGAATGAGAGAAAATGTGTTCCAGTTTCTCTCACAATAATTAGATGAGGCTGTTTGAGACAATATTTTGGTGGTAATATTTCTCAAATTAAGAGTATCAGTTTTGTATTTAAACCACCATTCAACTGTATAAATAGTAAGAAACATCTTAAAACCTTAAAGAAAAACATAAACAGAAAAGTCGAAGACAAAATATTATACTTATATAATTTACTTAATTACCTGGATCACTTTTGGCTCTTCCCCTAATTGTAGCTTGGTCAGCAAAACCATACATGCCCTCTCGAAATATTGACCTAAATATAATGGATATGTTGATGTTATATATTAAAATAGTACACTGTTAAAATGAGATCGAAATGCTAAAGTATTATCTTTGCAAGTGGTTGAGCAACCTTATTTGGATTTGTCTCTAATCTAAACACAACGATCCGAAGCGAACCCAATAAACTTTCTAACACTATTATTTTCTTTATAGCATCTCCCATTTCTTTTTAAACTAGTCAATATATTCTTTAAGTTCATCTATCTCATTAACTAGTAATGGTCCGTCAATCTCATATGGGTTGGGCTTTGCACCCCACTCTAGCTAAAACAATTTTTTCAATCATCAATTGGTAAAATTGACCTTAAGCGTTGCTTGGTGGATTATTCTTATAAATGAAATACTTTGCAATAATATGTTTTGTCGACATTACCCACTTTTTGAGATTCAACATATGAGTTAGCTTGGTTTGCTCGACTTCCCTATTCTGACACATTAAAGGATCTATCTCTTCTATGACGAGATCTTTTTCTTTGCTCATTAATTTTTGTGATTTTCTTGAGAATTTATCCCAGGCTTTCTTCACACTACGTGATCGTGTCAAGCCCCTAGATCTAGTACCTTTTTGGGTAGATGATCTAGAACTTCCTCCTCTAAAACCCTACTCGGCCATATGTATGTCATGAAGGGATTGCTGTTTTGCGTTCTCAATATCAACTTATTGTTAGTAACAATAATCCACTTGGTACTTTGAAGATTTATCCTCAGCGTTCGAAGGTTCAGACCACCTATGTGCCGCGTGTTCAGTTGAATTCCTCCACTCTAGTTCTAGCATC